CACCTCCTGCTGCTGCTGCTGCTGGCAAAGACAGACAGTCCCCACAAACCACCACCTGCGCCACGCGCGAAGCCAGCAGCCGCAGAGAAGCGCTGCTGCGCGCACAAACCCTAAACCCTAAACCCTAAACCCTAAACCCTAAGCCCTAAACCCTGGAGCAGAAACTCGCGAAACAGCAAACAGCAGCACCAACAGGAACAAAGGCAATGCTGCTTTTTAGCACCGGACGGGGACAAGAGAGTCCCCCTCCGGTGCTAGGGTTTAGGGTTTAGGGTTTAGGGTTTAGGGATTGGTACGGCGCGGCGCCAAGCAGGAAGTCTCTCAAGAGCTGGAGAGGCCGAGGGTTTACAGTGGAGCCCAAAGAGAGTCCTGCGACCGCACGCCAGCTAGGGTTTAGGGTTTAGGGTTTAGGGTTTGGGGGTATCCTAAAGAGTTATATTTAGGGTTTAGGGTTTAGCCCACCCGAAACAAACAAAACATATTTGTCTTCAGCATCAAACTCTACACCTTCCACCGCTTTGGGGGCCCCTGGGGGCCCTCCTGTCAGGGGGCCCCCCTGGGGTTCCCCCTGGGGGGGCCCCTGGGGGCCCCCCTGGGGGCCCCCCTCGGGGACCCCCTGGGGGGCCCCCAGAGGGGCCCCTGGTGAGGGGGCCCCCGCAACGCAGATTTGGTTTACGCTGAAGGCCCCCGTGCCTAAAGAGTACCCTTTTACGGCGACCACCTGAAGACCGCAAAACCCTAAATTAGGGTTTAGTGTTTAGGGCTTAGGGTTTGGGGGTCAGTTTTGTTGTCGCATACAACCAGAAGCACTCTAGGAGCTTTGGGGGATGCATAGAAGCCCCTAAATCGCTGCTGTCTAGGGTTTAGGGTTTAGGGCTAGGGTTTAGGGTTTAGGGTTTGGTCCTAGGGTTTAGGGTTTAGGGTTTACCATTCCCGTTACGCATCGGTTAATGTCAAGGGTCCCTGATATGCAGAGGCTTCCTGAAACAGTTGAGAAGGCTGTTCTTTCTGCTGCTGCTGCTGCTGCTGCTGCTTCCGTTGCTGCTGCTGCTGCAGCAGCAGCAGCAGGAACAAGAGCTATGCGGGCAGTCATGTCTTCCAAAAAGAGTCTGGGCTCGCGCTCTTCCGTCGTTTGCGAGGCCGTCTGAAACCCAAACCCTAAACCCTAAACCCTAAACCCTAAACCCTAAACCCTAAACGAGCCCCTCAGGCTACCACGCGAAAACGCGTCCCAAGCCAGAAAGCAGCAAGCCTGCGCCAAATCCTAATCTCCAGGAGCTAGACAAACCCTAAACCCTAAACCCTAAACCCTAAACCCTAGCTCACCTGTATCTCAAGGGTGTTGATATATTCTTTCAACACGGAAGGTCTCATTGGCATCTCTTTGAACAAAACCCCCACCACCACGCACTCCTTCTGCGCCGCAAACCCTAAACCCTAAACCCTAAACCCTGAACCCTAAAACCCAAACCCTAACCGTAAACCCCAAACCCTAAACCCTAAACCCTAGCCCTCGGACCTAAGCCCTTTGCCTTTAGGGTTTAGAATGCTGTGGCTAAGTAACATCCATGCAACTTAAAGCCTAGCTATGGGGCCCCCAGGGGCCCCCTAGGGGGCCCCTCCGGGGCCCCCCGGGGGTCCCCCCTAGGGCCCCTGGGGGCCCCCGGAGGCCCCTGGGGGCCCCTGGGGGCCCCCGGAGGCCCCTGGGGACCCCAGTGGGTGCTTACCCCTGGCTGCGCGTCTTTGATGGCTGGGAGAGTGGGGGCCCCCCACTGCAGCAGCAGCGGACTTTGCTGCAGATGGGGCCTCTGCTGCTGCAGCCTAGTGAAGTAAAGGCTGCTGAACTGCTGCTCATAGGGCCTCCGTCCTGCAGCAAAACGCTCTTCCCCTTTTGCCCTGCACTCCACCCGAAAGAGGGGCCCCCCATCCACTTCTGGCCCGGGGGGCCCCCCTCGGGGGCCCCCCTGGGGGCCCCCCTGGGGGGCCCCCTGGGGGCCCCC